TACTGCCGGAACCTAAGACACATAATTCCTAAAATTCAAACTGAGCCTAAAGGTTGCAGAATACATTGAAATCTAATGGAGGTACCTCTGGCGAAGACATGACCTTTTGACCAGTTTGTTTAATAGCCCCCTGTTTGCTTCCTTACACTGCAGGTGTCTTTAAAGGGTGTTAAGTGCAGCAGTGTTGCCATCTACTGTCCAATGTTGGCAAATCTTTTTTTAATGAAATGATGACAGTTATTCTGGTTATTGGAAAAATACAACAAAATACAAATCAATGTTAAATAATGTCAGGCTTTTTAAGATATCTCTCTCTACCCTTTTATTTATTCATTTATTTTTTTGGTCAGTAGAAGAGTACTTGTGCAAAATATCCCATATTCTTATTAAACAGTCCAAGCAACATTCCCTGAATAAAAGAAAGTGAGTGGGGAGTATTTGCTGTTCGATGATATTGCATTTTGTGAGAGGCCAGTTTGTTAAGGGATAACTCCAGCCAACCAGATTCTTATTCTCACCTGTCCATGCACACAGGGCCAGTGCTAGACTATTTTGCACCCTAAGAAAGACCAGTTGCTTGAGCCCCCCCCCCCCCCAAAAAAAAAAAATGTATTTTATAAATAAATAAAACATTTTAAAAACTGTAGAAAATATTAAATCAACAAGACATGAAACTGACACTTTTTTTAATTTTCAAAAATAAGTGCCATAAGATGCCACCAGCACCAATATTAAAGACAAAATCAGTGTCAAGGATGGATGTATGGAGGATGATGGATCCACACTCTGACAGATCCCAGGCTGGAATTTCCCAGGCAATGGGGGGAGATAAAATGCTGTGACAACAGGCAGCCCAGCCCACACACACACACACAGAGAACACCTGAACTGGGCGATCCCACACAGTGACAGATCTGACACAACACACCACCACCACAACACTGACACAGATCAGCAGGCCCAGCAGGCACTAGAAGAGCAGGCTGGGGGATCGTGATGATGTCATCATTCATTGACATATTGCACAGATGGATGGCCGGGTCACAGTCACACAGACACGCAACATCAGAGTCAGACATTACCTTCCTCCGCAGGCACAGCTCTGCCTCCGCTGATAAATGGGAAGAGAAGGGCTGGAACTCCAGTGATCAGCAGCTGCCAGCTGGCTTGCAGTAAAGGACTGAGTCTGAGAGGAATACTGGAAGGAGCAGCAGGTCAGCTGCTACACTGGCCTCAGAGACCTGGCATCTACCTCTGTCCTTCCTTTCTCCCCTCTGCTGAAGGATCATTCATAACGTGAAGCGTGTAGTGTTCCACACAGAGAGAGTGATGGCCTGCGCTGCACCCAGGCACCCCTAGGTGGCAGTGCGCCCTAGGCAGTCGCTTAGTTTGCCTAGTGGAAGTGACTATGTGGCTACTTCTGAGCTGCATAGTGTGAATCTGGCAATGGGGTAGTCAGGTTGGTATAAGATTTGGGGTGTGGGTATAGCTTAAAGGATAACTGTGACAAAGGGGAGATTTACCAAAACTGGAGCATCCAAAATCTAGCAGCTCTGAATAGAAACCAATCAGCTTCCAGGTTTTATTGCCAAAGTTTACTTGAACAAGCTAAACTTAGACGTTTATTGGCTACCATGCACAGCTGCACCAGATTCTGAGCGCTCCAGTTTGGTAAATCTCCCCCCAAGCATAGAAACACACTCAGATCCATAGGTCCGCTTAAGATTGGCCTCTCTTGTACATGGACAACCTGGGTGCTAGCCATTGTAGTCCATCCTTACTCTTTATTAAAAATATGAAATAATTTCAGCCGCACTCCACTTTTCTCTTCTTACAGTACTTTTTATTAATCAACGAATAGACTGCATACGGTAATGTCTCCACCCAAACACAACTTTCCTTGATGCATGTCACCACTCCTGGCTTGCTCACAAGGATAGGGGGCAAAGTATAGTTATTCTTTAAGCAGAGTCAACAGAAACAGGATATTATCAGCAACATGCTTCTTTGTCAGCTACACACTTAACATGTTATGGACCATTATTTTCTCTTCTCAGTGGTGCATCCAAAAAACCCTAGCTCAGCAGGGAGTAGCTATTCAACTTTAGATGTTAGATATATTATTACTGAGAGTTGTAGTTTGTCTGGAGTCTATATATCAGAATTCCTACAAAAAATAGAAGATAAAAATTAATAGCCAGTTAAAAAGTAACATAACAAAACCTGCTTTTGATGCAATATACCCTTTTAAACCAAAGAATTTCCCCCTAGTACTTTCCACAAAAAGTTTTATTGAAATAAAGCAAGTACATTGAATATTTGGGTTGGAAAGGGGGCTCAAAGGGCCATAACATGTCACATAAGAGGTAAACATAGCACATGCATGAAAAGGGTTCCCATAAGAATTATTCAAAAGAGCAGATCAGGAGTAGGAACAGTTTGTATAATGAAACTTGCATCCAGATTAACTATGTGATTCGCAAACATGAGTCATAAAGATGTAAGGCCAAGGTCCCACTGTAGGGGGGATTGATTGAGGAGTCAGTGTCATGCAGTGAGCTGGCATCCAAATGCGGTGGGGGATCTGTCCCCTTAGTACTTCACTTCTGCCACTAGATGTCCTCAGATTGATGTCCATCATACCATTCAACCTATTTTCTCTGAGCCCAGTTCATCTTCATCCTAGACCCCGCCCTAGCTTTTGACTTCAGTTTAAATAAGAAGCAGCAGAGTGATGAGTTCACCTCCCTATTACTTTGCTCTATCCCCATATGTCAGGAAAGCCATCCTCAAGCCCAAGCCTGTGCTCAAAGGAATGACTGTGTTCAAAAGAATGCCCATGCTCAAAAGAATGCCTATGCACAAAGGAATGCGCATGTGTGCAGAACAGTGCATAGAACTGTCCACGGTATTAGGACCTTGAGAGAATCTACATAAGCACACAAGCATGCCTGTTTGATGGACTTTGACACCCAGTGGCCTATTTAATGCCTTACAGGACTCAGGATCATTGCTGAGTGGTCATCAGCTCCATCTGCTTGCGGCCTGATCCTGTGTACATCCGTATCCTGACCCAACTTTTGTGGATCTTGCTTTTTCCTGAGCTTCTGTTGCTGGCCTGTGACCCAATCTTGCTTCCTGCCTGCTGATTCAGTACATCCTCTGCTTGTTTTGATACTGACCATGGCCTGGCTCTGACTCTACTCCTGGTTCTTGACTCATGCTGCCCACTTGTTGCTGACCTCTGCCGATCTGATTATGCATCCAAGGTCCAGAATCTGCCTGCTGCCAACTGGCCTGATTCAGCTATTCATCTGCTACCAAGATATTCTGAATCGGATCTCCTACAGGCACCCATGCCACTCAGTGCCCTGTTATACTCCGACAGGATCCACAGGGGAAACGGGACAACAGGTGTAAGGGCAGCTCTTTTGTCAGCTCAGCCTCGAACAGGTACTTGACACCATATCAGCACATGAACTGACTGGCTCCTTGTGCTGCTTCTGTTTCTCACACTCTAGCTTTCCGCTGTACAAGGACTACATGAGGTTGATATCAGGTAAAATTTAGCTACCTACACTTTTTGCATTTAAAAATACACTTAATATTGTGTTAATGATTGCAGAGCTGTGTTATTTTTTTTTATCTGCCCAGAGTTCAGCTTTAAACCTTTTCTTTCTGTCTACATTCTCCATACTTACCAGCTAATTGCAATGTGGAGCTTTATGGAACCAAGTGCTGAGACTTCTCATGAGGGTTGCCATTGATAACCTTTCCTGCTGCCTAGTTGCCATGATGATCCAGTGGCTTCAGTAGTTTGAATCACTGATCTGGAACAAGTAGGCAGCTATGGAGTTCTGACTCCAGTCTCCAGTTCTTAGATGGTTAATTCACTTGCAGACTCCAGTCTATGCAAGTGAATTAACCATCTAAGTATCATCATGACTTCATGACTGTTAGCAGCTCAAGCTTTTTGAAGATCAGCAGGAGCTGTCTATGCATTTCCCCCATGGGAGATGCTGATGTTTGGGTCTTCTAAGTCTGGATGATATTCACCCTTCTGGACCCTCAAATGCCTCAACCTCTGACACAACAAGGCTAAAGAAGTGAAAAGAAGTGACCTATAACAGATACCAATATTGTATAACTCTATAAACAAGTGGAAGACCCAATTAGTCCTATTTAGTCCATTAGTCTCTCCAATCCCCTCCCACTGGCCAGTGGGTTGCTAATCATTGGGGTCCAGGTCCTGGCATTGGAGTGCTCAGATTTGAGCAGATCCCACTATATTAGATGTAAGTGTCCAAACTGTATCCTAGAAACAGATGACTCCTGTCAAGCAGTGAGAAGAAATATGCGGCCAGCGGTCACCACCAATTGATTTGTGATTGCCCTTCCCCTGCTCTTCATTTGGATCCCTGTGATGTCAGCTGCAACTTAGGGCTTCAAAATAATGATCTTCCACTGACCTGGTGATGTCAACAGCAACACAGGACCCAGAAATGTTGATCTTCCACCAACGTAATGATGTCAACAGAAGAGTATTTCAAAAACTTCAGAGAACCTTCCAGCAGGCAACCCTCTGACACAGCAGCCCACTTTAATGGTCACCTCTCACTGTCCACCACATGACTCCCCCAAGCCCAGGAACTATCTCCCCCTTTTTCCTCCTGAGCTCCCTGTCCTGCTGGCGCTCCTTCCAACCTGTGGTTCAATAGAAAAACTGTCTCTGGGGACATTTCCCATAGCCCCAAGCAATTCCCTACAGTCCTCTTTCCTCCCAGTCTGTGCAATAGCCACTCACAGTTCCTTCTAACCAATTGCCTACCGCCCTATAGCGGTACTGCCCTATAGCGGTAGCCTATACTGCTACAGGGTGGAGGCTTTGTGCAAAATCAAGTTTATATACATGATTTTGCAGTTCTGGGTAGGGGGCGCGCCCTACCCCTACCCGCACTACCATTGGTTGCAGTGGATGTCAATCACCAGGTCCCAGCCAGGATTCTTTGCCAGCACTCGGTGGTCGCCGTTGAAGCTGAGAGGGAAGAGATCTGTGTGTAAACAATACAGATCTCTCGCCTGTCAGCATGGACATGCTGATTTCTCTCTCTCTGCTGTGCATGTCTCCCTAGTAAAGCAGCACATAGCACACAGTGTAAGCACAACATAACACACAGTTAACCCTTTGATCACCCCAGATGTTAACCTTCCGGGCGGTATTCCCGAGTGTAGCTCGGGGTAAAGTTTCAGTACCACAAGCGGTAACCCCAAGCTACACTCGGGCTTACCATGCGGCGCTGCTCCGGGATTCCTCGATCACTTACCTTGTCCTGTGCTCCCGCGATGTCCTCCCTGCAGTGTCCCCGACAATGTAATCCGGCAGATGCCGGCATCTGTCATCTGGGTTCCGTCCCCTGCGAGCGTTGGGACGTATGGGGGACGGAACGGCAGGAAATTTGAAAATGACAAAAAGTGACATTCACTAAAATCACATAGTAAAACATTACTGTATCAAACCATTTCACATACATTTTGTCCCTAGTGCTTTGTCCTGCGCCCTGCCTGCATTTTTACTGTTCTTTCTGCCTGGAAACTGAGAAACCTCCATGGTGTCCAAAAAGTGTCCCTTTAGGTCAAAAGCAGTTTTAGACCAGCTAGACAACAGCGATAGTAAATTGGAACTACTTTGAAAATTGAGTAATAATGATTCGTGGGGAAATTCGTCATCAGACACTGAAAACGATTTTGCGACTTTGCTCAGTGATGTGCAAACTTGGCGCTCTATTTCAAATTTCAGTGTTTTTGGTTTGATTATATTATTGAATTAAATTTATTGTTATTATATTATTATTTTTTATAATTATTTATTAAATTATAATTTATGATTTAGTGTTTCAAGTTTTATCCTACCCGGGATGTTTACTAGACTCTTGTTCGGACAGATTTCAGTGAGTTATTCCTAAAAATTACAGGCCTACAATAAAAAAAATACATATTTCCATGCAAAAAAATGTACCGCTTTGAGCACAGAAATATGGACATAATCAGACCGCTAGGGAGGTTAACCCCTTCCTGCCCAGTGTCATTAGTACAGTGTCAGTGCTTTTTATTAGCACTGATCACTGTATTGGTGTCATTGGGATGTTAGTGGCTGTTAGTCAGTTCCCCCCAGTGTCAGAATGCCCGCCGCAGTCCCGCTAAAAGTTAATGACCATCAGCATTACTAGAATAAAAAAATAAAGAAATAAAAATTCCAGTATATATATACCACCATTTGTATGACTTTCATGTAAACCAATTAATTTAAACGTATTGGGAATATTTTTTTTTAGCAAAAACATGTGTGACACTGTCAGTGACAGACCGGTTCATGTGGTAGTGCTCTGTGGGAGTAAGTACTGGGGTTACAAGGAGTGTTATATTTGAGGGTTCTTGGAAGGGTTAGCATTTAGGTTACCAGTAGTATTAATGTGAGGATTAGTGTGAGGGTTTAGGGACTTTAAGTTTGAGGATGAGTGTTAAGGTTCTTGGGAGTTTTTGTGTTCGAGTTGCAGGGTGGAATAGTATTAGAATTATAGGGAGTGTTAGAGTTGGTGTTAAAATTATTGAAAAGGTTAAAGTGGTTGTAAAGACTGAAGTTTTTTTTACCTTCATGCATTCTATGCATGAAAGTAAAAAAAAACCTTCAGAGTGCAGGTTCCCCCCTCAGCCCCCGCTTAATACTTACCCAAGCCTGATCCTGATCCAGCGGTGTGGGTGAGAGTGACTGCTGTCCCAGCTCTCTGCCCCCTTGATGGGTCAGAGACGGCAGCAGAAGCTATTGGCCACACAGAGCAGGTCTCCAGAGCGAGCACACAGGAGTGCCCACAGAGCAAGCAGCTTTCTCTGGAAATACTTGGCAGGGGGAGAAGCCCAGAGCACCAGTGGGAGACCTGAGAAGAGGAGCATCGGGGTGCTCTGTGTAAAACACATTTTTCTTAGAGCAGATGGTGGGCTCTCCTTTAATAGCAATCAGAGCCTCTAACTAGCCACTCTATTGCTATTATAAGCAGTGGGAGGTGACGTACCCCCTTCCCACTGCCCTCCTGATGGGCCATTCGGTGCTACTGCTCTCCGATCACAGAGCCAAACAAAGACCGGATCTGCTTTGCTCGGCTCTGAGACATAGTAACCCAGAACCCATGACCTGGTTTACTTGGAAACTGATCTTGGTGTGATTAAATGCTTTTAAAAGGCAGAGGAGGAATTTGGGGTCTTATTGACCCCTGATCTCTCAAAAAAGGACACCTGTCACATGGCTATTGCTGTCACAAAGGATGTTTATATTCTATGTGACAGTAATAAAAGTGATAAAAAAAATGTAAATCGACAGTGTAAAACTTAAAAAAATAAATAAATAAAGTGCCTGGTCCGCACAAAGGTCAGCGCACATGTCATCCGGCACGCATGCAAATAGCGATCATCCCACACATGTGAGGTATCACCGCAAACGTCAAATCATGGGCAGTAATGCTACCACCAGATCTCCTCTTTAAATCTAAAGTGGTTACCAATAAAGACTTTTAAAGTGTCACCGGTGGATAGTAAAATTTACAACTCGCCATTGCACGGGCGGGCACAATTTTAAAGCAAACATGTTTGGTATCTGTTTACTCGGCGTAACATCATCTTTTATATTTTGGCAAAACTTTTGGCTATATATTTATTTTTGCATTAGAACTTTAAAAAAACGTACAAATACCATGTGGCATAAAAAATTGCAAAACCCACTAATTTATACTAGGGCCTCTTCCTCTAAAAATATATACTGTTTTGGGGTTCTCAGTAATTTTTTAGCAGAAAATACTGATTGTTACATGTAAACAAAAATGTTATAGAGCGCGTTAGCATTATGAATACAGATAGTGATAGTGTGAGGGCTTAGTGTTAGCTTACAGGGGAGGTTAGTATGGGGGTTTAGTGTCAAGAAACTTTAGGGTAGGGCCTTGATCTCTGCTCCAGGAGCTAAAACACCCCCAAAAATAGCTTTTAACACTAAAAGCTAATGTATCGCTCTACAAGGCAAGACATGAGGAGTGATTTTCTCCTTGAAATACACAGCTCTAGACAAAAGCATTGCATTGTAATGAATACCATATAGAGAGATACATTTTCCCATGACTATTTTTTGTGTATACAACTCACAAATGAATAAAGTAAACCTTGATCCAATCATTTACATGCCCACATCCGCATAAGTTGTGACTGCAAGTCTAAACTGAAATTGAAATTTAGGCATTGAAAGCTTACAATGGTGCAAAAAGATGGCAAATTTACTTGCCATAATATTTTTTTTTTTGGTAATTTTATCTTCACTGGAGTTCTCTTTAATGCCTTGCTGAATTAGGGCCAACTACGCACTGTTTTATTAATCTATTAATATGATTTGTAAAGATTCAGCTATGCTTTGTGCCCAACTGTGTCTATATATTAAAAGAAATCTAAAAATGATGCCTTGGGCGTTATAAACATAAAGTGTAGTTATATGTGACAGTACAGGGAACACGGGTGGTATTCTATGAAAGGGAGTCTTATACAGTTAGTGAACACGCACTAAATTTACAGTGCCTTCTGGGAATATACAAAAATGTCCAGCTGAGACAGGATCATTTCAAAGACTTGTTTATGAGCACAGAAAAGCACATTTTGCGAATGAATATTAAATAGGGGAATCAGATTTATTTTGCTATTGCTTTCAAAGAAACCACATTAAAATATTGTTATCAGTCTTAGGTAATGCCGTAAAAGACTTGAGCAGCAGAGTTATTGGCTTCCGTGCTTCCATAACTCAGTCCTCTAGATCCATGTCGTTATATCACAAATGACATCAAAAATGGTTTTCCTTGACATACTTATTTATCTATGTGTCCCTTTAAAATTTCCAACCTTATCAATTACATTTAATGGCGGAGTACGTCAGACAAATCCGTCGGTGATAAGATGAAGAAAGGACAAGGTGTTGAGTAATGTCCGCCAAAGAGCTCATAATTCTGTACGTCCTGTTTTTGTGGCACTACACGGGAACCATTTTGTTATTCGGGCAATGAGATTTTGGTATGAGGCTTTTAAGCACTGCTCCAAGTCACTTAGCTCTGGATTAAAGTGCTTTGGCTTTGAGACACGTAATGAAAACAAGATGATGTATTAGATGCAAACAGCAGGCCTTCATGCAGGAGAAAAAAAATACTTTTTACACTTGCATGACTCTTAAAAAACTATTTGCGCATGCACACTTTATATAAAATTTAATTTTGAATTTGTATTAAATTTGAATTTTAAATATGATTTTTTTTAGGGCATACATTATAGTATAATACTATTCCTTTAGGAAGTGCGGAGTCTGTAAACAGAACATTTTGTCTCCTTTTTGCCTCGTACACTGATCAGTCAAAACATTAGGACCACCCACCATAACATGACCACTTACCTAATATTAAGTAGGTCCCCCTTTTGCTGCTAAAACAGCCCTGAGTCATAGAGGCATGGACTCCATTAGACCTGTGAAGGTATGCTGTAATATCTGGCACCAAGCCATCAGTAGCAGGTCCTGTAAGTTGCAAGATGAGGCATCCGTGTTTCTATCACATCCCACAGATGCTTGGTGAATTCAAATCTGAAGAATTTGGTGGCCAAGTCACTACCACGAAGACACCTTCTTTCATTAATCAATGGTCCAGTACTGATGCCCGCATGCCCATTGTAGGTGCTTTTGGCTGTAGACATGGGTCAGCATCGGCACCCTGATCGGTCTGCTGATAAGCAGCCCTATATGCAACAATCTGTAAGGCACTGTGTTTTCTGAAACATTTGTATCAGAACTAGCATTAACTTTCAGCAGTCTGAGCTACAAAAGCTCTTCTATTGGATCAGACTGCACAGGCCAGCCATTGCTCCCCTTATGCATTAATGAGTCTTGGCTGCCCATGACCTTGTCACTGATTCCCTGGTTTTCCTTACTTGGACCACTTTTGGTAGGTCCTGACCATGGCAGACAGAAAGTATCTCACAAGAACTGCAGTTTTGGACTTGCTCTGACCTAGTTGTTTAGCCATTACAATTTCCTTGTCAAAGTCATTCAAGTCCTTGCGCTTGACCATTTTTTCTGTTTTTAACACAATAAATTCAGGGATAACAGTAAGGATGCCCCATCATTTGATGGAAATGAAAATTATCAATCTACAGAGGACTGATTTCAAAGACACCCCCCGAAAATCAAAGTGAAAAAATTATGCAGAAGCCTAGTCCAATTTCATTGCAGAAACTCAGAATGGTACTTTGTATGGCCCCCATGTGCTTGTATGCATGCCTGACAACATTGGGACATGCTCCTAATGAGAAGACGGATGGTGTCCTGGGGTATTTCCTCCCAGATCTGGATCAGGGCATCACTGAGCTCCTGGACAGTCTAAGGTGCAACCTGGTGGCATCGGATGGACCAAAACATGATATCCCAGAGGTGTTCTATTGAGTGTAGGTCAGGCGAAGGGCCGTTCAATGGTTTCAATCCCTGCATCTTCCAGGAACTGCCTGCATACTCTCGCCACATGAGGCCGGGCATTGTCCGTGCGCCAGGAGGAACTCAGGACCCACTGCACCAGCATAGAGTCTGACAATGGGTCCAGACCATCACTGACCCAGCACCAAAACAGTCATTCTGAACAATGTTACAGGTAGCATAATGTTCTCCATGGCTTCTCCAGACCCTTTCACGTCTTTCACATGTGCTCAGGGTGAACCTGATCTCATCTGTGAAAAGCACAGGGTGGTGGTAGACCTGCCAATTCTGGTGTTCAATGGCAAATGCCAATGGAGCTCTATGGTGCCATGCAATGAGCGCGTCATGAGTGAGTTGGGCCCTCAGGCCACCTTTATAAAGTCTGTTTCTGATTGTTTGGTCAGAGACATTCACACCAATGGCCTGCTGTATATCATTTTGTAGGGCTCTGGCAGTGCTTTGCTTATCCTGTTCCTCCTTGCACAAAGGAGCAGATAGCGGTCCTGCTGAGTGGTTAAGAACCTTGTACAGCCCTGTCCAGTTCTCCTAGAGTAACTGCCTGTCTCCAGGAATCACTTCCATGCTCTTGAGACTGTGCTGGGAGACACAGCAAACTTTCTGACAATGGCATGTATTCAGGGGCTGACTGACAACTCATGGGGCCCCCGGGCAATAGG